TATATATAAACACAACGTATATATATAAATATAAATAAATATTGTGCACTTCAGGCGGCTTCAAAAGAGGCTGCACAGAAGGGTTCAGAGACGCGGCGACACATGTGATGATGCTCCAAATGCAGTCATCAAGTGCCACGCATGTGAGTGTCGGGGTTGCGCGGTGCGTCGCTGGGCCAATGTTCATCCCCAACTTGCCCTTCTCTTTTCGTTGCCGGCCTTGGGGTCGGTAAATAGAAAGAAAACAAAATTAACAATCCAGATTCCGTTTTTTTCCCCTAACTCACACGCTTTGATTCATTTTTGGTGGTCCTCTGCCCGCGTCCGAAATTTTCTTTAACGTCCTGAGTCACACCAACATTAGACAAACCGACCGTTAGATACATTTGCGCACATACATACACACACGCAGCTACATATATATATTTATATATGCATATAAATACAACCCATATGTTTACGTTGACATATATATTCGGTCACAGGCAGCCAACGCATATCAAATCACTCCAATGCACCTTCCCACGAAGGCACAGTGACGCAAAGAAACGTAACGCACAGCAAACGGGGGCTATACGAGGTGAGGGGGGTGGAGGGAGAAGAAGAAAAAATGGGAGTCTGCCTATAACCGGCATTATTTTCGTAATTTCCCAATAATTTTCTTCTGCTTTACTTTTCGGTTATATATATATATATCCCAAGCATCCAGACAGACACTTTCACGTCGACTTGCATATAACTCTCTCCATTTTCTTTCTTGTTTATTCTCTCTTCCTCTTCGACTTAGGTCCTCCATTAGATTACGTTTGCAGGTACTTCTTTTTTGGTGTGTTCCACACGTCGCTTTCATTTTTTGGGTGATAGTACAACCTTTTTTCGGTATAGTTTTTCTTTTCTTTTTTGCTTTCTCCCCCTTTCCCCAATGTTGTGTTTATCACGTGGATTCACGCCCTTTCTTTTGTACCTTTTTTTGCTCTTTTTTTTTTTGTTGTAGCCGGCTTCCCGCTGTGCCTTGCCGCACGTGCATAACAATCCATGCGTCCGTACAAACATATGTAAATATAAATATGCAGGTGCATTCATATACACTTAAGTGTGTACATACACAAACAAGTAAATACTAAATCCGCCATTTTCAATACGTGTTATCCCAAATATATCTATATATATATCTTCGCAGCCCACACGGCTAATGTGCCAGCCTCCTCGTTGCAGTCGCCGCTCCGCCGTGACCACACCGTGAAGTGCTGGCCCAGCAGCTCTCTTCATGCGGGAGGGGCAACACAAAACCGACCCATGGGTGAAGAAACAAAAACAAAAAAGCCAAAAAAAAAAAACAATGAAACACACAAAAAAAAAAATCACACACCATTTTTATCGCTTAGCCAAAAAAAAAAAAATGATGCATCTCGCAAAACAATCACAACAACAACTCAAAAAAAAAAACAACAACCAAGAAAAACACACAGGAAACACGGAAAAAGCGTTTTTGAGTTTTCATCGTTTTCTTTTCACTCCCCGTCTGCCTTTATCGGAGAGTGAAGAAGAATGATGAGAAGCAAGAAGGAAAATCAAACTTTTCAAGTGAAGAAATAACTAAACGTACTACATTACAATTGCATGTATTCCCCGGCGTGAGGCCGCATCGCATTGAATTGTCCCTTGATTCTCAGTGACTTCTCATTCCCCGTCTCGCTCTATCTCTCTTTCTCTCCCAAGTACACGTATATATACAGAAATATATATATATATATATACACACACACACACATGAAGACACAAAGACACATGAAGACACAAACGCACACTGGCCTCGGAGAAAAGGGGATAAAAAAAGTCGAAAGCGAGAAAAAAGTCAGTACAGAAGAGGGACACATACATAATGCGGCTGAAACCTCTACCTCTTGTGTCTCTTCGTCTTCCCCCCCTCCACTCGACTTCATCTGTAAGGCGAATGTGGAAATTGCTTACGGGACCGGCACATACGCATAAGACGGCGGTGGGGGTGGGGTGTAGAGCGTGTCCACAGGGGCCCAGAAGAAAGTGTTTCCTTGAACAGGAGTCATTTCAGAAGGACGCACGTTGACAGCATTAGACGCCAGGAGCAACTGCTGGCCGTTTTCGAGAACAAGTACGGCTGGCTGCGACTTTTCGCTTCCACATTTTGGGTGCACCGCAGGGGCGCTCGGGGGGGCCGGTGGATTACAAAAATCCGCCGGATACATTGGAGGCAATTGGTACAATGGAGGTGGAAAGAACATCTGCTGCGGCTGCTGCACGGCCTCAATCAGTTGCGGCGGCGGGGAATTGAACACGTCCATTACCTTGTACGCAGATGACGCCCTTGACGAAGAGTCGCTGCTCAGGTTGGGCCCCACTGAGCCTGAAATGGAATCACGAGACTGTGCATTACCACGTGGGCAAGCCCCACCGTTTGTGCTGCTGTTGCTCGAAACCACTGTACCGGCGTCCAGGGAATTGCTGTGGTGAAATTCCGGGATCCCAGCTGCGTTCCGTGGAGGCGGGAATACGCAAGCGCTTCGTGGTGCAGGTGCACGAGCAAGTTTGCCTTCTTCGCGACGGCGGCGGCGCTCACGCTTGGCCTCCTCACTGTCAGCATACTTCACCATCACTGGGGGGCCACGGAAGTGCTCGGAGTTGCCGTGCAATTTCTGCAGCACATTCTTGGAGCATTCAAGACAGTCGTACTCGGCGTACACAACCCACACCGGGTTGCCGTAGTGGTCTTCCCGCGTCGCGCAGTACGTCAGGGTGCCGAAAGACGCCAAGAACTGCTCCACCTGCTCTTGTGGAACCGTAATAGGAATATTGCGAATATACAGAGCATTAGATACCGAAAATGCTGCTTTACCAGAGTGCTGGGACGGGAAAACACAGAGATTGAAATGATGACCATGTGATACCACATGACGACGATTCATTGCATCATATGCGCGGCGCCCCTCTTCCTCTGTGTTAAAAAGCACGAAACCGAAGCCTTTGCTCTTTCCAGTGGAGGCATCCAGCATCACCTTGGCACTAATTGGTTTGTACTCCGCGAAGATCTGCTCAAGGTCTGCATCGTTCAGGTTCCGGGGAAGCTTCGCCACAAACAGGTTCTGAAACGACATATGCCGACTTCGTAGGCTTTCGAATCAAAAAAGGTTGCTTCTAGTTTATAAATGATCCTCGAGGAAAAAAAACAAAAACAAAAAAGGTCACACAATAGTTGTGAGAATGCCACACGTCTGCTCATATGCGTGACATGGAGAAGGTCAAGAGATGCCGATACCACCGACTTTACTTATATCAAAAATGTTTTTCGTTTTACAGCAGTTGACCGGCTGTCTATCGCCTTGTTGTTAATCTTCTTTGTTGCCGATTTTCTTCCTTCTCTTTTCGCTGCATGGCTTACGTTAATTTGTCTCTGTTCGTTTGGCAATACGCGCAAGATGATGGCGCGATTTCTTTTGGTGCGTTGAGCTTCTGAACCCCTTGCTCACACCAGGGAACGAAAATGAGGGAAAATATGAAAATTGTTTTTGTAAGGCTTTTTTCTCTCTCTCTCTCTCTCTCCCCGCCTCTCTTCTCTGCTTCTCCCTGTCCGTTCTTGTGCACAGGGAGGGAGGGATAGAGCGCGCGCGCGAGAGAGAGAGAGAGAGAGAGAGAGGGAAAGAGAGAGAGCACAGGCGGAGGAGGGCGTGCGCGAGAGCAGATGAGGGGGCGACCGAGCGCACAAACAACGGGTCACACAGAGAGCGGGTAGCCGCCAGCTCTCGCTCCGGAGCGCAGAAGTTGTTTTCGCCCCACAAGGTCTCCAGCCCCAATTCTTTTGTTTTAACGATTTCTTTTTTGCTTCTTTTTGTTTCCCTCTTTTGGGTTTTATGTTTTTTTTTTGTGTTTTGTCCTTTTGTATCGATCTGTTTCCTTCTTTTTTTTTTTTTTTTTTTCCCNTGTCCTTTTGTATCGATCTGTTTCCTTCTTTTTTTTTTTTTCTCTCTCTCCCCCTTCCGCTTGTTCGTTGCTTTAGCCGGCTTTTTTGTTTTGTTTTGCTTTGCGTTATGGCTCCAGAAGCAGTTCGCGTTATCGCTGTCTCTCACATTATTTCGTCGCTCCGTCACCCGCTCGCACTCTATCCGCTTTGTGTGCAGCCGAGTTGCGGAGCCTCCACGTACCACGTGACGCGCGCCTGACACATTATTAGTGATCACACAACAACATAACGAAAAACAAAACCAAAAAAAAAAAACACAGACACAGATGCACATACAAAGACTCATTTGGGTTGATAAGTGGAAAACAATGCGCCAACAGATCGTCTTCCCCGCCTGCCTGTAGAGCTGGGGACGGGAGGGTGGTGGTGGTGGTGGTGGTAGAGGGTGTGTGTATGTGTGTGACAACCGCGATGATGGAGCGCAAACGATACACCAAATAATTCGCCACCGCCTCCTCCCTCACCCTGCCGGTGCATTGATTCACGTGAATATATGTGCGTGAAGGGTGTTATTACAACAGAAAAGAAAAAAAAAAA